AAAATTTTTTCGTGCTCTAGAGGTAAAATTGGGCTGACACCTCTCAAATAGGAGTCAAAATTGGTGGATGTGCATTCCTGCATAACTTTAGATATCAGGCGACTGGACAAGACAGCTCCAGGAACCTCAGATAAGTCTGTTTATGTTTAACTCTGGCCAGTGTTATTTCATGTATAGACAGTGAGGTTTTCTGAGTATGATACACATTAATCTCCAGTCAAATTGGTGAGTGATATTAAGATATATTATCCTTCTGTTATGTAAATTGTATATATATAATCGTTTTATTAATTTTAATATACAGTTCACAAATTTATATATTTACCAGAATTCCTGGTGTATGTATATATCATTGGTAATTAATAGGTCTAGAGCAACTTGTGGATAAGACAGTTGTAGGTACCGAAGGGGGACATTTTTGCGACCTAGGTGTCCCAAATTCCTACTTGTCTATGTAACTCTGATAAATAATAATTATCTTTGTTATCATTTACTGTTATGTACATAATGAGTTACATTCAGATAAATGCAATTTTCCACACTGCACTTACAGAATTGTTCGAATTTGGAGCTGTTCGTATCCCGAGGTATCACATCAGTAATCAAATTCTCTTTCTCTCTCTGTTAGGTATCTTCGTTCCGAAACGTTTCGCCTGCACAGCAGGCTTCTCCAGTCGAATGTAGAGGAGACAGCAGAACCTGAAGAAGCCTACTATGTGGGCGATATGTTTCGGAGGGGGGGGGGAAGATACCTAACTGCTGCACATGTAAAGAATAATTATTATAATCATGGGGGAGCGCTAAACCCATAGGATTATACAATGCATGTCGGGGGGTGGAGGCTGGAAGGTATTCAGGATCAATTCAGGGAACTGGAGCACAGATCCAAGTCCCTGGATCAAGAGCCCCTCACCAGCGTCAAGGAACCTCCCTTGAGGGGTGTAAAGAACAAGAGAGGAAAACACCGAGACTTGTCAATTTATTTATTTATTTATTTTTATTTGGACATGATATATAGTTGTACAAAGAAATATAGTGATTTGGTGTACATACCAAAATTATAGTAAACAAATTACAACATGAAGTACAAATTAGTATTTGAAATAAGCAGCAACAGCCTGGTTGATCAGGCTCTGATCCACCAGGAGGCCTGGTCACAGACCGGGCCGCGGGGGCGTTGACCCCCGGAACTCTCTCCAGGTAAACTCCAGGTTAAAGTTGTACAAATTTGTAGCATAACAATGTATAATATAATTCGATCAAATCGAATAAAATCAATGATTTGTAGTGCAATGGTCCAAATCTGAGCGAAACGTGAAAGTTATCTGTTTCATTTGTATTTTACCAAACTCTAGGTATCGTGTGTCGTTATTATATCCACAGACGAGGTGATGTTTAACATTCAGAGCGACATATACGCCTGGGTGAGGCTGCCGTTCGTCCACGGGGGTAAAAGGCCAGTTCGTGTGGCCATCCCAGGGGAGAAGAGGAAGCCCTTGTGTCGTTATGCTACCCCAGCCTGCCCTGTCAAGCCTGGGGTACCTACCACCATCACCAAGTCCGTCACCATCCCTCTGCAGGCCAGAATGGTGAGACTTCTTTGACTTTTGGTAAACTGAGTGTCTGTGGTTCGATCCCGGGTGTTTATCATCTTACACCTACTGACACTGTTCACATAGCAGTAAGTAGGTACCTGGGTGTTAGTCACCTTACCCCTTCTGTCCCTGTTAATCTAGAAGTAAGTAGGTACCTGAGTGTTAGTCACCTTACGCCTACTGTCCCTGTTCACCAAGCAGTAAGTAGGTACCTGGGTGTTAGCCGACTGGTGTTTACCTGGAGTTTACCTGGGGTGGCATCCTGGGGGACAAAATTAACTTAAGTTGTGGAAAATGTTCTGCATAACCAGGGACTTTCTATATAGTAAGTCATTGATGTCAGCTATGGTCTGTATAAGTTGTATCAGGTTCGTGTGGAAATAGAGAGTATTCATTTATATTGATTTATACGGGTTTATCCGTCACCCGTGTATAGAAAAATAATATATGACGTTCTTGACCCTCACACAGGCGCAGGGGAACGTGCTGGTGGAGTTCATCGCTACTGACGAACAAGATCAAGTCGTCATATGCTTCAGAGCTCCTGTGGTAGTCGCCTAGCACAACGCTACTACCTGCTACAGTCGCTGCTTGTGTCGCCACCTCCCTCTCTTATCCTCGCCACCTGTGCACCTGCTGGCAGTCTCCAGTACCACCACCTGCCTCGTGTATTATCTAGGTGTCTGAGACAAGGGTGGATCTACTGTGAAACTAATGGAGCTTTAGCTTGAGGGCCCCTAATCCGGGAGAGGCTTCAGAAGGAATTTTAGTCCACACTGCTTAAAAATTTTGGATTTACTTTATGAGGAGGAGTTGCGGAGTTCCCCAATAACAGTTCAGGTTTCAAGGACCGAAAAACAGGTTCATCATTAGACTGAAATGAGAATGGTACAGCAGACGCTCTCTCACTACCCACTACTCCTGGTCACGACTGGCATCAAACAGGGGGACTTACATATCATATTAAAAAACGGATTAGAATTTACAGGAGCAAATGGAATGTGTGATCCACAAACTACCTCTAAATAATATTGTTGTTAATAATGTGACTATTCTTGTTGTTCCACTGTCATTTACAGAGGCGTTCACAGCTACATTTGAGGATTTTATCATATTTTAGACACAGGTACACATAAGTACAATTATAACCTCAATAAATAATCAAAGTGGCTATTGGGGTCCTTGAAGGTCGACCTCCGGAATCCTGATGCTCACCTTGTCGAACCCCTTAACACACCCCGTCTTATCTTTAAATAATTTAGCGTAGTAAGTAAGTTTACTTAGGTACAGGTACACAAATACAATTACATAGATTATCATATATATTAGCATATGTGTAGATTACTCAGGATAACCCAAAATAGTCAAACTAACTGATTTCCATTGTTGAATGGCAATGTTGATGCCCATGGTCCTTGTTATCCTGGGTGGCTAACACTCCCTACCCCTGGTTATGCTGGGTGGCTAACACTCCCTACCCTGGGTTATGCTGGGTGGCTAACACTCCCTACCCCGGGTTATCCTGGGTGGCTAACACTTCCTACCCCGGGTTATGCTGGGTGGCTAACACTCCCTACCCCGGGTTATCCTGGGTGGCTAACACTCCTTACCCTGGGTTATCCTGGGTGGCTAACACTCCCTACCCCGGGTTATCCTGGGTGGCTAACACTCCCTACCCCGGGTTATCCTGGGTGGCTAACACTCCCTACCCCGGGTTATCCTGGGTGGCTAACACTCCCTACCCCGGGTTATCCTGGGTGGCTAACACTCCCTACCCTGGGTTATCCTGGGTGGCTAACACTCCCTACCCCGGGTTATGCTGGGTGGCTAACACTCCCTACCCCGGGTTATCCTGGGTGGCTAACACTCCCTACCCTGGGTTATCCTGGGTAGCTAACACTCCCTACCCCGGGTTATGCTGGGTGGCTAACACTCCCTACCCCGGGTTATCCTGGGTGGCTAACACTCCCTACCCCGGGTTATGCTGGGTGGCTAACACTCCCTACCCCGGGTTATGCTGGGTGGCTAACACTCCCTACCCTGGGTTATGCTGGGTGGCTAACTATCCCTGCCCCGGGTTATCCTGGGTGGCTAACACTCCCTACCCCAGGTTATCCTGGGTGGCTAACACTCCCTACCCCGGGTTATCCTGGGTGGCTAACACTCCCTACCCCGGGTTATGCTGGGTGGCTAACACTCCCTACCCCGGGTTATCCTGGGTGGCTAACACTCCCTACCCCGGGTTATGCTGGTTGGCTAACACTCCCTACCCTGGGTTATCCTGGGTGGCTAACACTCCCAACCCCGGGTTATCCTGGGTGGCTAACACTCCCTACCCCGAGTTATGCTGGGTGGCTAACACTCCCTACCCCAGGTTATCCTGGGTGGCTAACACTCCCTACCCCGGGTTATCCTGCGTGGCTAACACTCCCTACCCCGGGTTATGCTGGGTGGCTAACACTACTTACCCTGGGTTATCCTGGGTGGCTAACACTCCCTACCCTGGGTTATGCTGGGTGGCTAACACTCCTTACCCTGGGTTATCCTGGGTGGTTAACACTCCCTACCCCGGGTTATCCTGGGTGGCTAACACTCCCTACCCTGGGTTATGCTGGGTGGCTAACACTCCCTACCCCGGGTTATCCTGGGTGGCTAACACTCCCTACCCTGGGTTATCCTGGGTGGCTAACACTCCCTACCCCGGGTTATACTGGGTGGTTAACACACGATACCCCGGGTTATCCTGGGTGGCTAACACTCCCTACCCCGGGTTATACTGGGTGGTTAACACACAATACCCCAGGTTATCCTGGGTGGCTAACACTCCTTACCCTGGGTTATCCTGGGTGGCTAACACTCCCTACCCCAGGTTATGCTGGGTGGCTAACACTCCCTACCCCGGGTTATCCTGGGTGGCTAACACTCCCTACCCTGGGTTATGCTGGGTGGCTAACACTCCCTACCCTGGGTTATCCTGGGTGGCTAACACTCCCTACCCTGGGTTATCCTGGGTGGCTAACACTCCCTACCCTGGGTTATCCTGGGTGGCTAACACTCCCTACCCCGGGTTATACTGGGTGGTTAACACTCCCTACCCTGGGTTATGCTGGGTGGCTAACACTCCCTACCCGGGGTTTACCCTGGGGGGCAACATCCCTCCCCTGGTTATCTTGGTGGGTTTACCCCCCCTCCCCCGGGTTATCCTGGGGGCAAAACACCCCCCCCCGGGTTATCCTGGGTGGGTGAACCCTCCCTCCCCGGGGTTTATCCGGGGTGGATAACACCCCCACTATAACGGGCTTTTTGGTAGGGGTGGGGTTTTTAAATGATATTTCTTCGGAGGCTTCTTACTTTTTTGATAATAGTGTTGGGTTACACAGGTTGTGTGTTTTGCCCATGGCCCGGCAGGGTCATGCCCGCGAGAGAGAGGGGGAGTACTTGTGTGTTGATGCCGGGCCGCTGTGAGAGTGAGAGCGGGGGAAAAAATCGGGGGATATGAAGTGGGAAAGGCCTAGGGGGCAGCACCAGCATGCGCGAAATATGAACTAACTGGAGACAGCAGGGCTGTCTGTGCAGACAGTACAGGCTGTCAAAATACGCTCGGCCCCCTACTGCGCGTGTCCCGACGCGACAATAGGTAGTAAAAAGAAATCGGTCTCTCTCTGGGGAAACGGGGCACGAACACAAAATAAAAACATATATACATATGGACAGGGAAAAAAAAATTTTCCTACAGGGAGGGAAGAAAAAAACATGTGGGGTGTGCAAAACATCGGGGTCAAAGGCAGTGAGCATGAATGCATCACTGCATGCCTTCCTGGCCCCCCCGGGGGAAACGATACGCAACCGGGAGACATGCGCAGTGAGCTGTGAGTAACGGGGTCGGTCTCTGGAAGGGTGAAGCGCTCGTGGGAGTCGCTGCAGGTTTTCCTCAACCTGGGGCACGCTGCTGTGCCCTGAGTGAGGCTCGAAAAAAACTCGGCAACTGGGCAGGACTTCTGGCAAGGACTCAGGGGGACACTTTCGACTTTACTTCGTGGGCGTCACTGCCGGGGGGGTGGAGCGGTCGGGCAGAGCGATGGGCGAAACTTTGGGATCTAAAATCATACACCAACTGCAGTGAGAGAGTAGCAGTAAAGTGCATCTTTGTGCAGGCTGCTCACTGAAGCTTGTGCCGAGGCTGACACGCGCCGCCGACGGGTGGCTGCGGCTTGGGCGAGTATCATCTCTCGACAGTTTGGGGTTATAGCAGAGGTTAGCCTAAGCGTCCCCAGGACTTGTTTCTCTACATAAACGCACTTTTGACGGTCTGGGGAGTGAAGTGAAAAAAATCTCGATGGGAATCGTGCCGGTACGATTGCAGAACAAAATGAGCCACATAAAAGCTTTCTGTACAAGGGGGCTATACGCTCAGGGGTGAGAAATCAGCTGTCAAAACACTGGGCACGCGGGGTGACTTGCCAGTGGTGCAACTCAAGGGTTGACCACGCCCCACTGGACAAGGAAACTTTAAAAACCACTGCTTACAATGGACAACATGGTTAACTACAAATGATCTTTTTTTGTGCATAAAAAAAGACACTAAGACAATATAAAATGTGAGAACACTGACTAAGAGGAATTAATTAAAAAAACACATAATCTTCTCTCAATCTTCTCGACAATATTGAAAAAATTACTAGAAAACTCGATGTGACATCATGTGTTTCGGGGGTGATGTCGAGGTGACATCGCAGCACTGTTCTCAGCAGACATTCCCCAGGTGAATCAGGAGACAACGTGAGGGGTGGGGCAATGTGATTTCGGGCAGCAGACCCGCATGGGGCCGGGACATCGGTAAAATCACTGGCTTTGTAGGTCTACGTGACATCGCCCACACCCACGGCGTCGTGATCCACGTAGCTTCGATGGCCTCGGGCACCGGGGGAACACAGCTGGCAAGAATTCAACGAAAAAACAGACAAAACGCAGAGGGAAGTGGGAGTGGGTGAGGGGGTATGGTGGCTGTGGCGAGGAGCGTGCTGAGTGTTTGGCTGGGCAGGCACTGGGGCGGTTCCTCCCCCCACCCACAAAAAAACAGGGGAAAACACTGGACGCAGAAAAAATCACCAAAAACTCACCTCTGGCTTGCTGAAACAGCTGTTGAGCTGAACAACCGCAACATACAAGGGGCGCTGAACACTGACTTGAAAAAAACAGCGTAGGGTCACTGGGACCCCCATTACAATTCTCGGAAATTTTTCGGCAAATTTCGGCTGGATCCTGCTTGTCCCTGTGTCTGGATGCTCAAACGTGCAGACACAACATCAGGATAACTCGTTGAGAACTGATGCTTTTTTGTGTAGGGTGATAAATGAAGATGACTTCATACCTCTTCCTCCCTCTCTCCAGGCAAACACAACTGCTGCGAGCACCGCTGTCACCATTTATAACGGGCTTGTTTGGTAGCTGGTAGCGGGTAGTTAAATGATATACTTCTTCGGAGGCTTCTTACTTTATTGATAACTAGTGTTGGGTTACACAGGCTTGTGTGTTTGTGCCCATGGCCCGGGCAGGGTCATGCCTGCGAGAGAGAGCTGGGAGTACTTGTGTGTTGATGCCAGGCCGCTGTGAGAGTGAGAGCGAGGCAAGTCTGGGCATACTGAAGTGGGAAGGCCTAGGTGGCAGCACCAGCATAGCGCGAAATATGAACTAAGCAGGCAGACAGCATGGGCTGTCTGTGCAGACAGTACAGGCTGTCTACACTACCCCGGGTTATCCTGGGTGGCTAACACTCCCTACCCCGGGTTATCCTGGGTGGCTAACACTCCCTACCCGGGTTATCTTGGGTGGCGAACGCTCCCTACCCTGGGTTATCCTGGGTGGCTAACACTCTGGGGTTAAAAATCCGAACGAAATCTCAACATCCCACAAGAACCTTCATCAACATCCCACTAGAACCTTCATCAACATCCCACTAGAACCTTCATCAACATCCCACTAGAACCTTCATCAACATCCCACTAGAACCTTCATCAACATCCCACTAGAACCTTCATCAACATCCCACAAGAACCTTCATCAACATCCCACTAGAACCTTCATCAACATCCCACTAGAACCTTCATCAACATCCCACTAGAACCTTCATCAACATCCCACTAGAACCTTCATCAACATCCACAAGAACCCAGAGAGTCAGTCTTAAGTCGACGTTTTGGGCGCAACTTTGCTTAGGCGAAATGTTGCCTCATAGTATTGAGCACTAACACTGGGGGATTTAGGCATCCTACTGAAGACAGAAGAGTTTCTGAACCTAAGGATGAGGTGCAACACACAGAGGTGCAGGACGCACGTGCAAGACACAGAGGTACAGGACAGAGGTGCAGGACACAGGCCCAGGATACAGATGCAGGATAAGATGAGATAAGATAAGATTTCGTTCGGATTTTTAACCCCGGAGGGTTAGCCACCCAGGATAACCCAAGAAAGTCAGTGCGTCATCGAGGACTGTCTAACTTATTTCCATTGGGGTCCTTAATCTTGTCCCCCAGGATGCGACCCACACCAGTCGACTAACACCCAGGTACCTATTTGCTGCTAGGTGAACAGGACAACAGGTGTAAGGAAACGTGTCGAATGTTTCCACCCGCCGGGAATCGAACCCGGGCCCTCCGTGTGTGAAGCGGGAGCTTTAGCCACCAGGCCACCGGGCCACCTAACCAAGACAGGACACAGGAGTAGAACACATACCACACAGGTGTGGAACACGTACCACACGCGTAAAACACGTACCACACAGTTGTAGAACACGTACCACACAGGTGTGGAACACGTACCACAGATGTAAAACACGTACCACACAGATGAAGAACACGTACCACACAGATGTAGAACATGTACCACACAGATGTAGAACACGTACCACACAGGTGTAGAACACGTACCACACAGGTGTAGAACACGTACCACCCCAGGTGTTGAACATGTACCACACAGATGTAGAACACGTACCACACAGATGTAGAACACGTACCACACAGATGTCGAACACGTACCACACAGGTGTAGAACACGTACCACACAGGTGTAGAACACGTACCACACAGGTGTAGAACACGTACCACACAGATGTAGAACACGTACCACACAGATGTAGAACACGTACCACACAGATGTAGAACACATACCACACAGGTGTAGAACACGTACCACACAGATGTAGAAAAACTTTCCACACAGATGTAGAACACGTGCCACACAGGTGTAGAACACGTACCACACAGATGTAGAACACGTACCACACAGATGTAGAACACGTACCACACAGATGTGGAACACGTACCACACAGGTGTAGAACACGTACCACACAGGTGTAGAACACGTACCACACAGATGTAGAACACGTACCACACAGATGTAGAACACGTACCACACAGATGTAGAACACGTACCACACAGATGTAGAACACGTACCACACAGATGTAGAAAAACCCTACCACACAGTGTAAACACGTACCACACAGATGTAGAACACGTACCACACAGATGTAGAACACGTACCACACAGGTGTAGAACACGTACCACACAGATGTAGAACACGTACCACACAGGTGTAGAACACGTACCACACAGATGTATAACACGTACCACACATGTAGAACACGTACCACACAGATGTAGAACTCGTTCCACACAGATGTAAAACACGTACCACACAGCTGTAGAACATGCACCACACAGATGTAGAACACGTGCCACACAGATGTAGAACACGTACCACACAGATGTAGAACACGTACCACACAGGAAATAAAGGTATTTGGGGGACAGTGCACTAGATGACAAGATCCCTGGTTCATGTATTGTCATATGGACTTGAAGTCATCCTATGACAAGATCCCTGATTCATGTATTGTCATATGGACCTGAAGTCATCCTATGACAAGATCCCTGGTTCATGTATTGTCATATGGACCTGAAGTCATCCTATGACAAGATCCCTGGTTCATGTATTGTCATATGGACCTGAAGTCATCCTATGACAAGATCCCTGGTTCATGTATTGTCATATGGACCTGAAGTCATCCTATGACAAGATCCCTGGTTCATGTATTGTCATATGGACCTGAAGTCATCCTTTGACAAGATCCCTGGTTCATGTATTGTCATATGGACCTGAAGTCATCCTTTGACAAGATCCCTGGTTCATGTATTGTCATATGGACCTGAAGTCATCCTTGACAAGATCCCTGGTCATGTATTGTCCTATGGACCTGAAATCATCCCTTTGACAAGATCCCTGGTTCATGTATTGTCATATGGACCTGAAGTCATCCTATGACAAGATCCCTGGATCATATATTGTCATATGGACCTGAAGTCATCCTTTGACAAGATCCCTGGTTCATGTATTGTCATATGGACCTGAAGTCATCCTATGACAAGATCCCTGGATCATATATTGTCATATGGACCTGAAGTCATCCTATGACAAGATCCCTGGATCATATATTGTCATATGGACCTGAAGTCATCCTGTGACAAGATCCCTGGTTCATGTACTGTCATATGGACCTGAAGTCATCCTTTGACAAGATCTCTGCTTCATGTATTGTCATATGGACCTGAAGTCATCCTATGACAAGATCCCTGGTTCATGTATTGTATATGGACCTGAAGTCATCCTATGGGCAAGATCTCTGGTTCATTTTACTGTCATATGGACCTGAAGTCATCCTGGACAAGATCCCTGGTTCATGTATTGTCATATGGACCTGAAGTCATCCTATGACAAGATCCCTGGTTCATGTACTGTCATATGGACCTGAAGTCATCCTATGACAAGATCCCTGGTTCATGTACTGTCATATGGACCTGAAGTCATCCTATGACAAGATCCCTGGTTCATGTACTGTCATATGGACCTGAAGTCATCCTATGACAAGATCCCTGGTTCATGTACTGTCATATGGACCTGAAGTCATCCTATGACAAGATCCCTGGTTCATGTACTGTCATATGGGGCCTGAAAATCATCCTATGAAAAAGATCCCCGGTTCATGTACTGTCATATGGACCTGAAGTCATCCTGTGACAAGATCCCTGGTTCATGTACTGTCATATGGACCTGAAGTCATCCTGTGACAAGATCTCTGGTTCATTCATAATCCTATGTATAAATAATTATACAATATTTTTCTGTAGTTAATACGTGGTGAAAAAATACTTGATTTTTTTAATTAAGATTTATATTTGTATTATTACTCTAAATGGACTATTTTCACAACGGAGGATGTTTATGTTAATGGGCTCTTGATACGAGGAAGTGGAGCTATCTGCACTACTTTTGGATCAGGTCTGATTTCTCGTAAGTATGACCCTTGCGACTTTAGTGCTTAATGAAAATACAGTAAATAGGTATTTGGGTGTTAGTCACCTTACACCTGCTGTCCCTGTTAACCTAGCAGTAAGTAGGTACCTGGGTGTTAGTCACCTTAAACTCTGTTTTGTTCACCTGCAGAAGAGGTACCTTTGGGGTTAGTCCCTTAAAAGCTTTCCTACACCCAGCAGTAATAGGTACCTGGGTGTTAGTCACCTTAAACTGCTGTCCTTGTTCACCTAGCATTAAGTAAGTATCTGGGTGTTAGTCACATTACACCTGCTGTCCCTGTTCACCTAGCAGTAAGTAGGTACCTGGGTGTTAGTCACCTTAAACTGTTGTTCCTGTTCACCTAGCAGTAAGTAGGTACCTGGGTGTTAGTTGCCTGATACTGCTGTTCCTGTTCACCTAGCAGTAAGTAGGTACCTGGGTGTTAGTCACCTTAAACTGCTGTTCCTGTTCACCTAGCAGTAAGTAGGTACCTGGATGTTAGTCACCTTAAACTGCTGTTCTTGTTCACCTAGCAGTAAGTAGGTACCTGGATGTTAGTCACCTTAAACTGCTGTTCCTGTTCACCTAGCAGTAAGTAGGTACCTGGGTGTTAGTCACCTTATACTGCTGTCCCTGTTCACCTAACAGTAAGTAGGTACCTGAGTGTTAGTCACCTTATACTGCTGTCCTTGTTCACCTAACAGTAAGTAGGTACCTGGGTGTTAGTCACCTTACACCTGCTGTCCCTGTTCACCTAGCAATAATAATAACACTAATATACAAAATAATTATAATAATAAAGTCAGTTGTGCCTCCTGGGCAGGTAATACATCAATTACAAATGTCACAATAGGCCTTGACTAGGCCTACCCCGACACACATCAACAAAAAATATATTTTAGAGTCAATTTACAAGTTTTACAATACCTCCATATACCTGATAAATACAATACAACATAGATCAACAATCTCGTAAACATTTAAGCATTTTATTATCACTAAACTGTTAGATATTATTGAGTTATTCTAAAAAATATATCAAAATTCTGTCGTCTGGTGGAGTCAAAATGTGGATAGGACGTAAAAATTTCCAGATATTTTATAATTAGCGGTGAATTGCTTTGTCGTACCGTCGAACGCGGTGTTTTAGAGTGTCCAAACTTCCAGCTTCTCAAAAATACCTCAATGGAAACTATTATACATATATATATATAAAAAAAAAAAAACGAGAAAAATATTGATTTCGGAATTTTGTATTTCCCGCTGGGGATTGACTGACCAATCAGGAGCCAATACTGTCTCCAGCTCGACCAATCACAGCGCGAGTTGCCGTGGTCGGCCATGTTTGTTGTGGTTCCTCTCCATCATGGCGTTACTCTGGCTGCTGTCTTCTGCCTTATTTTAGCACATTACAGGTACATCACCCACTTAAAATCACCCATAATTTACCCATATAATTTTAGCACGTCCGAGGACGCCCCATTAATGTATTTTATGGGAAAAATGAGACGGTTGCTGTCTGTGTTTTTGTTTCAAAAATGTACACCCTGGGCCAGGCATCTTTATTATTATTGTTATTATTACTATTATTATCATGGGGTACTCTACGTAGGCCGTAAGTGCCTAATCAGTTAATAAAAGGACAAGTACTATGAGACTACTCTAATTTGATCAGAACTCTATATTATTATTAAATTATATTATTTTATACTCATCTATTATTATTTATTATTATTTATTATATTAATTACTATTATTATTTTATTTTATTACACTATTTACTATACTGGCGTTAGCACTATTATTATTATTTAATATTATATTATTATATATTATACTACTCTATTATTACGTGTTCCGAACTTACGTTATAATAAATTTTTATATAAATATCTATTATTATCATAACACTAGTACTATTATTACTACTATTAATTACTACTCACACTACTACTATGACTACTAATTACTATATACTATTCAATACTATTGTATTGTTCAAATACTCATTACTACAACCTATTACTGTTCAACTACTATTACTACTACTTATTTACAACAACTACAACTACTTACGTTACAATACTACACTTTTCTACAACAACTACACTATTACTACACTACTACAATACTGCTAACTACTTCCACAACAACTACTACACACACTATACTGACTACAACACTAACTAACAATAACAACTAACACTACTGTAGAACAACAACAACTACTAATACTGTAGCAACAACAATACTACTACTACGTGCAACAACAACTACTACTACAACTACTATTAGCAACAACAATTACTACTACTACTGTAGCAACAAACTACTACACTTTTACAACAACTACAATTCTACACTACTACTACAACTACTGCTAACTACTCTACACAATACACCTCCGTACAACAAACTACACTAACACACTACTACTGAGCAACAACAAAAAATATACTATGTACAACAACAATTTAACTACTACAACAACTACTACTAACTGTAGCAACAACAATTCCCTACTGTACAACAACTACTACTACTACTGTAGCAACAACAACTACTACTACTTACAACAACAAACTACTCTACTACGTACTACATCATACTACTACTACAACGTACACACAACAACAATACACTACTACTATTTACAACACTAACACTACTCTACTACACAACAACAAAACAACAACAACACTTGTACGTACAACAACAAAACTACACTACTTAACAACAACACTCTACTACTACATAACAACAAATAACACCAACTAGTACAAACAACAACAACTACTACTATGTACAACTACTACAGTTACTACTAACTACAACAATAACAACAAGCTACTACTACAACAACAATTAACAACAACTACTGCTACAACAACAAATAACAACAGCTACTACAACAACACAATACAACAGCTACTACCAGTACTACAACAACAAAACACAACTGCTACTACAACAATAACAATCACAACACATACAACCTACTACAACAACAAATAACAACAGCTACTACCAGTACTACAACAACAACTAACAACTACTACTACAACAACAATTAACAACAACAGCTACTACCATATACACAACAATAACAACAGCTACTACATACCACAAAACAACAACAGCTACTACTACAACAACAATAACAACAACACACTACCATACTACAACAACAATAACAAACCAAGCTACTACTACAACAACAATAACAACTACTACTACCAACTACAACAACTAACAACATACAACAGCTATCTACCAGTACTACAACACATAACAACAACAGCTACTACCAGTAACATAACACAACACTTACTACTACAACAACAATAACAACATACAACTCACAAAACAACAACAGCTACTACTGTTACAACTACTACCAGTACTACAACTACTAAGACAACAATAAACAACTACTACTACAACAATAACAACAACAGCTATTACCAGTACTACAACAACAATAACAACAACAGCTACTACTACAACAACAAATAACAATTACTACTACAACAACAATAATATAGCTACTACCAGTACTACAACAACAATAACAACAACAGCTACTACCAGTACTACAACAACAATAACAACAGCTACTACCAGTACTACAATAACAACAACAACAGCTACTACCAGTACTACAACAACAATAACAACTACTACTACAACAACAATAACAACAACAGCTACTACTGTTACAACTACTACCAGTACTACTACTACTAAGACAACAATAACAACAACTACTACTACAACAATAACAACAACAGCTACTACCAGTACTACAACAACAATAACAACAACAGCTACTACCAGTACTAAACAACAATAACAACAACTACTACTACAACAACAATAACAACAACAGCTACTACCCCAGTACTACACTACAACAACAATAACAACACACAGCTACTACCAGTACTACAACAACAATAACAACATACTACTACAACAACAACTACTACTACAACAATAACAACAACAGCTACTACCAGTACTACAACAAACAATAACCAACAACTACTACTACAACAATAACAACAACAGCTACTACCAGTACTACAGCAACAATAACAACAACAGCTACTACCAGTACTACAACAACAATAATAACAACTACTACTACAACAACAATAACAGCTACTACTACAACAATAACAACAGCTACTACCAGTACTACAACAACAAAACAATTACTATTACAACAACTACCAGTATTACAACCACTACTACTGTTACTACTACTACTATATAATATATATATAACACATATAACAAAGGTGAATTTCTCACCTCTTGAACAATAAAATCTATGGAAATCAAATAATTTTTCATTTCTAGTATTACCCTTCATGGCCGGAGTAATATAATATTATCTTAGCCATTCTAAAAAGTTTATTAGGTACAGGTACACATAAATACAATTATCATAGCATAAATTACCCATCAAGATAACCCAAAAAGGTCAGACAAAATTACTTATTTTCATTTGGGGCCCTGAAGCTTAAGCTTCAGGGCCCCTAATCCTGGAGGGGCCCCAGAAGCTTGAGCTTGAGGGCCCCTAATCCTGGAGGGATGCCAGAAGCTTAAGCTTCAGGGTCTCTAATCCGAGAGGGACCCCAGAAACTACTATAGTCCACATTGCTTAAAAATTTTGGGTCTACTGTATGAGAAGGGGTTTTTAAAAAATAGTTCAATACAAAATAAATAAAATGAAAATTAAAAGGTTCTTAAAGCATCATGTAGGATCGCCATAAATGAGAAAACCTAATTAAGGATATTTAATTGATTTTTAACAAAATTGTGGTGATCTCTAATGGAAGAACCCCAATGAAGAAGATAACAGACCTCATTGCTGGTTTTGAAGGGGCCCCATAACAGGTCAAGCTTCAGGGCCCTAAAAATGTAGGTCCACCACTGGGTCCCAGACCTGATTTTGCATCAGGTTTCTAGTGTTA